ACAGAGTTTCTCTGCCGTATCGCTGATACGTGGCTGAACACAGGAGATAGAGCTTATCTTTACGGTGGGCAGCAAAACCAACCTTTGTCAAGCTTATAAGGAGGATAATAAGATAATATAGCCGACCACGCCTGGTTAATGGGGAAATAGTGAGCGGACAAATCAACTAATGAATATTATATTTGTGTTGCTTTGTGAGGGAGGTTTCCACTTAACCCTGGTGTTGTGAGCAACACGCTGATATTTAGCAGGTATGATATTAACTTTAAACACAGCAGGAGTCTTTGCATTTGTTGGGTTTTGTAAACTTTGTAGGGTCTAAACAATAATATTTACTATAATATTATACTTTCTTAATGTTAACATTTAAATTAGTCAGGTAATTTTATATATATTATTGCAGAGTCTTGGCTTTAACATGTATATAAGTCAGGCTATTGTACATAATAAGTAATATTGTAGGGCATTAGCTTTAATATTTAGATTATCAAGATAAATCTTAAAATCACCTTTTAAATCAGCAATGTACATTTGTATTTTTATAATACTGTATGGACTTAACCTTTATATTTAAACCAGTCAAGAAAAAGTATATAATAAATAATAATGTAGGGTGTTTACCCTAATATTTATATTATTCAGGTCAATCTGCACTATATATTATTGTAGGGTCCTAATATTACCATTTAGGTTCATAATGTAAATGTGTATTTTATATAATATTGTAGGGTCTTTTGTTTTGTCCTGCAAAACAATGAAACATCAGTGAAACAGAGAAGTTTTTATAGTTCAGCTTCATATGAACCGATGTTCAGCAGAAATCTTTTTACTGAGACTGATGTGAGAATCTTTGGAAATTTAATGATTTCATTAAAAAATGATTTTTGTAAAACATATTGAGAAGTAACACAAAACCAAGATGGAAAGGAACCACAAAGAGACACATGGCCGTCACAGCAGGAGATAAACAACTACAAAGAGACAAACAACCACAAAGAGGCACAAAACAACCACAAAAAGATACAAAAACATGCAAGACCTCCACAAAAGATGCAAAGCAATCACAATGATACTTTGAACAACTACAATGAGACAGAAAGTGAGATATACAAAGAAATGTCTTTATTTCACCAAGAAAAAAAAAAAACTTGTTGCAGGTTGTTTCACAATATGGGATGTGATGATGGCACAGGAGATCATTTAAAACACAAGCATTGTGTGCAAAAGCTGTTCAAGTTGTTTTTTGTGTACCATACTTACGTTAGAATGATCCCCTGTGTCAACATCACATGCCCTAATATGCAACAATCACCAAGATCTTTTGCTGTTTGCATCACATTTGATCTTGCTACGGTTGTTTTTATGCTCGTTTCTTTGCGGTTGTTTGTCTCTCTTTGTGACGGTCTCGTGTCTCTTTGTAATGGATTAGTGTGACTTTCTGATCAAATCAGTTTTGAATGAAATTATTAAATTTAAGAAGATTTTCTCTACAGAGCAAGAACAAATAACACAGTTAGAGATCAGTGGAAAATATAAAGTTATTAACGTCCAAATGCCAAATAATAAAAACCTCTTTTGAAAGCGGACAACAACAACTAGAATTGAACACAGGATCACATGGTTGGAAGGTCTGAGTCTGGACTATCATAGCACTTACTTCTGTAGCTTTTCTTTGTCCTATGAAAACATCCTTCTTGCATCAGATTTCTGCTGAATATCAGTTTATATGATGCTAAACTTTAAAAACTTCTCCAGTCACGTGATGGTTCTGAAGTCTGATTGTTTCTTGACTGGAGAAAATATCAAATCATGTGACAAAACAGGATCAAAAATGGAAAAAGACACCAGCAGGACTTGAACCAACGGCTTCCAAACTGCATAACCAACAATTAGTCAACTGAACTATCAGGTCTGGCTGGAATGCAAAACCACATTTATCTGCTAACGGTCTTCACAGGTTCTCATTTTGAAGCAGCAGACTCACTGTGAGAACCATCAGTTTCTTAGTTGGTTCAACATCTGCTGGCTGTCGTCAGTGGATTTAATTTTTCAACTTCCATCCATCCATTATCTATACACCGCTTAATCCTCATTAGGGTCGCGGGGGGGCTGGAGCCTATCCCAGCCGACTTAGGGCGAAGGCAGGGGACACCCTGGACAGGTCGCCAGTCCATCGCAGGGCTACACTTAGAGACAGACAAGCAAGCACACTCACATTCACACCTACGGACAATTTAGAATCACCAATTAACCTCAACATGTTTTTGGACTGTGTGGGAGGAAGCCGGAGAACCCGGAGAGAACCCACGCTGCACGGGGAGAACATGCAAACTCCACGCAGAAAGATTCCGGTGCCCCCACCGGGACGCGAACCGGCAACCTTCTTGCTGCGAGGCAACAGTGCTACCAACTGCGCCACCTTGCAGAATTTTTCAACTTATGTAGTTAAAATTATGTAGAGGAAAACCTGTGGTTGGGGTTGAAAGCTTCAGGAATTCCAGACTTCTCTCTTTGAAAATGAAACTGAATAAAAACTGTTGAAACTGTTTTTAAAATTGGCTTGAATGTTTTTTTGTTGGCAGTTTGTCTTTAATTAAAAGTCAAGTGTTCTTTCGTCAGAAAACAAGAGTCTTGAACCACGACCCCGGAGCTCACATGATGAACACCTTAAACCATCACACCACAGAGACCTTCAGCTTCCGACCCTCTCATGAGGTTTAGTCTTGAGGCAGATCAGAGCCACAAAATCATGACACACATGAGTTCTGTGTCGTTTCAGCGTCTCAGCTTGAACATGTTGGATTCTGAATTTGTTCAGACTGAAGGTTGGAAATCTTCTGGTGAGTTTGGCTCACATTCAGTCTGGTCTTTCTCTCTCTGGTTGGTTTGGACCAGCGCTGAAGATGGTTTAACGGAGAAGGACGCCGACCTTCAACACCGCGATGTTGGTTCAAACCCAACTGGACAAATACAGGTCAGTCACTCTGTGTGTGTGTGATGAATGAATGTGAGCTCAAAACCCAAAAACCTCAACAAAAACAAACTCTAAAAACCAAACCAAAACCAAAACTTAATTGCGTCGTTGCGTTTGCGTCGAAATTTCCAATTTCTCGTCATCGATCATCTACCGTCGAAGGAACACGAAGAGGTCAAGGTAAGAAGCTAGCTGGCTCAGGTAAACAGCTAGCTTTTATTAGTTGGAATATTGCATAAACATTAGCTTTTGTCCAAACAGAATTATAACATCTAAATCCAGAAATATATGTACCACATTTGATTGCAGTTCATAAAATAAGTTTTGGGAGATTTAATCTAGATGAAACAGTCCAAGACAGCCATGCTGAGAACCACAATGTGAAAAATGTGGAGGCCAACCAAGGAAGCAGAAGAGAATTCGTATGAGAATTCCTTGTTTTCTGAGACTGTTGTGTACTTTTCTTCTCTGTATGCTGACACCAAAGACCTAAGACCTAATTCTGACAGAGAAGAGAAGAGAAGAGAAGAGAAGAGAAGAGAAGAGAAGAGAAGAGAAGAGAAGAGAAGAGAGTCAGTGTTGACAGGATCCTGCAACACATCGAGGAAATGGATCCAATTTCCTCCAAGATTCCTATCTGACATTTTTTGGGGTGGAAAAAATGCTGATGGTGATACCATTTGTGTCTAAAGACGAAGGAAACATGTTTTTGTATCCCAGTTGCTTTAACAAAAGGGAAATAGTATGGGGTGGTGGTGGTGTGGTTAAATCTACCACCGTATCTCTGAATAGAATAGAATAGAATAGAATAGAATAGAATGCCTTTATTGTCACTATACACAAGTACAATGAGATTAAGAGCAGCTCCTTCAGTGCCATACATAATAAAGTACAAAATAAAGAGCAAAAAATAAGAAAAATAGAAGAGATTTATGAGTGCCAGGTTGTCATTTGGACCCTTCTCACATGTATCTGTCTACCCATGTTCCTTAAAATACTTTAGAAAATGTGAGGAACTAAACCCATGTCCTTTGGGGACAAAAAGCAAGACACTATGATGAAAATCATTAAACTTTAGAGTGAAAATTAAGAGAAGAGTAGGATGAGGTTTAGGTAAAGATTAGGTTAAAGGTTAAGTTTAGGCAAGGTGTCATTATGGTTACAGTTAGAGTACAGGAAAATAATGTAAAGCCTTGTTTACTCTCAGATGCAGATGCACACAGGGACAGCTGTCGTTGTTGTTATTATACTGCTTAGTCTGCCTGGAGGACTACAGTCATTATGTGCCCATTACATCGTCTACATTTTCTGTGCCTGCATGCTGGCTCACTGTGCCCTACTGACCTTGTGGTATAGTTACCTCGCAGACACAAATTTTGGGCTGCAGAGGGTTCTCTGTTCAGGCTATGCTACATTAGCTTCCTGTAGCATTAGCTAGCTTGAACTCTTGTTGTTGATTTGATCCGTTTTATGTCAGGAATTTAAATATTTAAATTCAAATATTTAAATAATAGATAGTAAAGTTAGTGTAAAGTCCCATGGATATCATTTGTAACAAAATAAATAAATAAATTATACTAAAAATATTTTTTTTGCAAATAATTTTTGTAGGTGTTATCAGACATTTCACCTGAGCTGGAGTCAGTTGAGGTGACAAATTTGTATTGAGAAAAACAACTCCTTAAGGTGCCCATTTTCAGGGTTTTACATTTAGATTTTATAATAATAAACTTGTAGTTTGTTATGATTTAGTTTTTCTTTAAGTTTGTTGACTTGAGCATACTTTCTGTGTACATTTATGCTTAATATATTTATATATCAATTTAAAAAACAGACATTGTATTTTCAGTTCCGTCCATATGTTGAGTGAAACCGTTAAAATAAACGGTGTTTTCACGGTGTCACGTTATGAACAGTTGGCCGAATCCCAGCAGCTGCAGCCTCGAGGCGGCACGAACTTCGGCAGACAGCGCGAGAAGAAAAAAAAAAAAGCAGCTGTGACGTCAGCCACGTTAGATTTCAGTAGTCCAAGATGGCGGAGGTGAGCGGGTTGAGGAGCAGAAATCACTTCGAGCCCAACTGCAAAAACCGGGTCGGCGACGAAGGTAAACTGCTGATTTTATCGGATATGTGTGTGACACCGCGCCGGCAGTTAGTACGAAGCAGAAGAGGCGGCTTAGAAGTGAAAGTGTGTCTGTTTCTTTGCTCTTTGTCTCTGTCGGTCGCTTTTCCGTTAGCCAGACGCTCTGTTTTCAGTTGGGAGACCCGCGGTGTCCTGCCAAATGTGGTACCGGAGCCAGAATGTTGTCTCCTGTAGCTCGCAAAAAAAAACACACAGCGCAAAAACTACGGCAAAAATTACCAACAGTTTATCACAGTTCGTCAGCCGGCGTCTTCTCTTTCTCAAAGTGTGTTTAAGTTGAAAGAGAAAAAGCGGTTTGAAAGTGATTCTGACCCGGATACAAAATTCAAACGCGACACCTGTCGGCTCATTTGTCCGGCCCGTCACTTTCACCTGGACCGCTCCTCGTACCGAAACACGCTTCCAGTCTCACAGACACCCGGAACGGGCTCATTTCTGAACTTGGAAAGCCGGTGTCCTGTCGCGGAGGTTGAAGTCTACACGAAACACTTGACGCTAATCTCATCCCACTAATGACTCAGATATTTTTAAATAGCCTATTATTAGTGTGTTCACTTTGCCTGACTTGTCCACGTCAAGTGCGACGTGAAGTGGAAACACCTAAATACCTGAGCTTATGTGTGTTTTACAGTCAGGAAAATACAAGTCATCGTTAATTCCAGCAGATGAAATGAGGTAAACCGTAGCTGTTGACTGCTGCTGATTGTTTTGCATCAGGTTTTATGTAATTTGCATAGTTAGTTTGGTGTCTAACTCATGTTAATACTGAATATCTAATGATGGATCAGTTATGAGTGTGTATATGATTCATTTTTGGTCTGTGATAACTACATTCTTTGGTTCAGGTTATGTGAGAGTCAAGTTATGTATTCATAAACCACCAAATATGCAGCATATATTAGTAATTTAGCTTGTGGCCTATAGGGTTTAAATTAAAACCGTGCCATTTTTTGAAATTTAGTCCTCATAAAGTTAGTAATACAACGTGAGGATGTGCAGCTTTTCTTTATTTTATGTGATGGGAACCTGTTTGAATTGTGGATGAATGTGAGGATGTCACCTTGAGCTTTAGGAAACTGTGAGAAAGGATTTTTGCAGAATTCAGATATTCAATGGACAAGACAGTTAGTGGTAATTCAGATAATGTCATGCAGATTAATTGACAGTAAAAGAAAAATAAAAAATGTCATGAGTACAGTTGCTAAACCAGAGTCTCCAGGCCTCATCTGTGCAGGACTGTCTTATCGCAGTAACCCTTGTGTCTACTTTCATACACGCTGGCCGACTCTGTGGCAACAACATTCACTTACTGCGGCTGCTCTTAATCTGCACTTTGTCCTCACTGACTCCCAGTTGGTCTGCTCGCTGCAGCTGAACATTTGCCCTCTTGACTCGTGTCCAGAGAGGCCGAGTCCAGTTGTCTATTGGTGCTGGTGTGCGGGGAAGTCAGTGTACCTGCATCCTAATAGGCTACAGTGGATTCTCACTCTTTTAGTCATAAAGTCAGTCTCGGCAGACTTGCTGTCTTTGCATAGATTAAACAAGTATTGCCCGTGTACTCAGATGGTATGAGGCTAGAAGAGGGTGCTGTAACCCATTTTGAGAATCATTAGCGTTAATACTCTGTGTTGCAACAGCAGAAAGGAGATTTTTGCGTGAATTTGACCTGCTTTCTCAATTCTTTAAAGCACCAGCTTTCTGTCGTAACCAACAACATGTCAGCAAATATTTCACATCATGTTGCTCGACTAACTAGTTGTGATATATTTTCCTTGTGTGATGCAACTTTATTCCCAAAGGTTTGGTCCTTTCTTAATTCCTACACTAAGTCTTTTGAGGGAGGGAGATCTCCCCTTTAAACTTTGAAACCTTCCATATTTAGACAGCTGCTTAAGTTAAGTGGACCATGGTGTTATCAAGGTCTCCCTCAGATATAGTGCAGGAGTCAAGGGAGGGGAGAGCCGATTCGGGATACGGTGCTGGGATGTAGGCTAGCTTGCGTAGACACAAGCTATTCTTGCTATGTGTCGTTAAAGATAGACCCCCATCCAAATTGGAAGGGATGCAAGACCGACTTGTGTGTTTGTGTGATGCTGTATTCCTTGAGTGTGAAGTAAATCTAATCCCTTGGTAACTTTGTGTGTGTGATTGCACGGGCAGGAAAACATGTAGGCCAGTTAACATCTGCTCTGTGCCCCCATAAGATAAGAAGTAAGGTGGCTAATTTTAGTTCTGCCCTCGATTTCTGCAAGCCAAGGAGCAGGACGGTGCATTAGCCACTTTATCGTGAAGTGTGAGTGTACGTAGCAGCAGAGCTAATGGTTTTTAACTGGCTGCTGTTATGCTTCCTTGCATGCTTATTGTGTTTTGTCTCTCAGTCACATTCTGCTGCAATACAGACTCCTCGCAGTCCCAGCAGAATAGTGTCTTTGTGTGGGTCCCTTCTATGGCTGCAGTCTGGGCCACTTCATTCTGCTGAGTGCTGCTCTGCACTTGATGGGAACCTGCAGTGCCACAGGCTGAGTAAATGTCCAGGGCTAATTTGTTTGCGGAGCAGATTACTGTAACTCCCCTCTGTGCTCACAGCACTGCTGCAGCACCTCCAGGTTGATCTTTAGATGTCCCATTTACAGTTGTCCTCTTGAGCAAGAATATTACTTGCTAGTCTCAAAACTTCCCTTCATTTACCTTGAAATAGTCTGAGTTTTGTCTGTTGCCATTACTGATTATTCTGCAGATGATTGAATGGATGATTATTGTTTTGGCTTCTAAAATGTTGGAAGTCTTGTTTTGTTCAACCAACAGTAAAAAAACCCAAAAACCTAGAGATACTGATTTGCCTTAAACCTGAGACAAAGGAGGACACCTACAACATCAGCTGTTTTTCAGAATAATTAGAAAAACACAGAAATGATCAACGTCATTGTGTTGAACAATGTCAAAGTTATTCAGTTGGTTTTATATTAACTTCTTTCCCAGCTCATTGATAATCAGATTTGTTGTTGTTTTTTCACCTTTGTGTAAGTAGTTTCTCTCCACTGGCCAGTGACTAATGATAATTCGTATCACGGAATAATCTGTAGGTATATAGATTTTTACAGTTAAGTGATTGATCACCATTTCGATGAACAACAGTACTAACTTGTTTTGTTCAACCAGCAGTCTCAATATAAAACATGCTTAAAAAGCAGCACACCCTTGAGAACAGGAGGCAGTGGATATTTGGCATTTTCTTTAATGGATCATCGAAGTTGTTAGAAATTGGTTTACTGTCATCAATCAACACTTTAATAGACTAATTATTTTAGCCCTCGGGATCTAGGCGACAAGCAGACTGACAGTGCCAGGAACAGAACCAGTTTTTTGATGGAAATGCTCGCTTGAAATTCATGACATACCCTGTACTTGTTGAGACTTTATGCATGTGTTCTGTGTGTTAAATGTCATGTCTTGTTGTACTTGGAACCCAGAAGGAGCAGCTTGTACCTTTTTAGGAGCAGTTATTAGGGATCCAAATCAGATAATGCACAATGGTTGTGGAGATGATCTGATCTCTGATTTTCTAACTTGGTTATAGTGAAATCTAATTTATTAGTTTAGCTGTGAAATTTCCAGTGGCGCTGCCTCGGGTCATGCGTAGAAAGATTTTGTAAAACTCTTTTTTTTTTTTTTTGTACAGCGCAGAAGTTTATCCAGTAAAAGCTGGATAAAAAGAGTCATAGCTCCATATTTCAGTTATTGTCAACCTACAAATGAAACAGTTAATCAATTAATCATTTGATCAATCAACAGAAAATGAAAAAGTAACGCTTCTGAGTTTCAAATTCTTAATTCTGAGGATTTGCTGCTGTTCTTTGTGATGACATTTAATATCATTATTTGAAAAATTGCTTTAAGCTGTATTAGCTTTCTCACTGGTGAACACATGTAGTGTGTCCTAGGGGTGTCTGTGAAGCAATAACAAGAACTCGTCTGGCCCAGCACTCCTTTCTTTTTCTTCTTCTTTTTTTTTAGATGGTTAGTGCTGTCAAAACATTTGTCTCTCTGTGGACCTCAGTGGCTTAAGTGCAGGTTGTGTGCTTATCAATCATGGCAACCACATTTACAGGGATGGGATTAGAAGTCGTGTTGGTTTGTCATTTTGAATGGTGTGAGAGACAAAGCTGAGACAAATTGGCACACCTGGGTGGCTAATCACTTAGATATTTGAAGGTGTAATACTTGTGATCCAACCTGTTGGATGGATGTGTCAGTTATACGGCTATGGGAGTGTCACCTTTAGCCTGCACCTGTGATATATATATATATTTTTTCATCTGTAAAAGACGTGTGAAAAGCTGTACAGCAAGTGTAATTATTAAAAGGTAGCAGCACATACAGTTATTATGCTAGACTGCATTTAATCAGTTGTGTAAATTTCCTGGTTTTCTTGTCTCATAAAATAATAAACTGAATATATTGTGTTGTGTTGGCAGAGAAGAAAAATGCGAGAGCGCTGTCCTGGTAACTTACTTTACTTGTGTCCTTTTTTCTGGCCCTTTGTGATTTTCAGCGGAAGGCTATTTTAGAGCTTGACCTAGATGGGAGGACCAGAGTGGATAACAGTATTTAGCCCAGCACAGAATGCTGGAAAGATTCCTGTCCTCGGTTTGATCCATATAGGGCATTTCACTTTCTCATGAACCTCTCAGAACAATAGTCAGTCTGTCACATTAACCAACCTACAGCTATAAAACTTGTTCTGTGGGAAAGTGGTTTTTGGTCTTACCACATAATCCAGCCTACACATTCTTCTCCTTCTCACTATAACGTCTTCCATGCAGCATAACGTTACACAACCAGTGTTATTTTATCTTTCTCCCTCTCTGCTTTGTCCCGTTATCTGAAGGCTTGAGCGGCGTGGAAGATGTCCCCATTTTTCGGCCCAAGAAGAAGCCTCCGTTAGCCAGGCCCGAAGACCTGGAGGATGACTTGCCTCCCAGGACCACGGCCTCAAACTCGGGCAAAAATGCCGTCCTCACCCTCTCAGCAAATGAAGAGATTGAGGAGGAAGAGGTGAAGTTTTGATGTGTTTGCTTCCACATTCCGGTCTTCTGACAAGCATGTATAACATATCTAGCGAAGATTAATATGTGTTTAACTTAGAGGTCCTGTTTCTCTTTCTTTTATCGCTGATCTGAACTTTTTTTCGACTCTAAAGAGTTGAAAGACAAAAATGATATTAAGAGAACAAAGGAGAAAGTAAATTTTAAGAAAAGGAATAAGCAAGGATTTGGATCGTCCAGATAAATGTTCATTAACTATTATTTCATGTCACTTAGGGCCACAGCTCATCTTTGTTTTTGTGGCTCATTAGGTTTATTAATATGATAATTATTCCCTTAGTTAATCAAGAAATCGTTTGATCTGTAAAGCACCAGAAAACTGGAGAAAAGCAAAATCTAATTAATTTACTTTAATGTAAGGCAGGAAAAAAGTAGCAAATCCATTGACTTCTTGGCCTGAAAAATACTCAAACACTAGTTAATCAGTTATCACAATAAGAATGATTTGCTCTTGGTCAAATAATTAATTAACTCTGTTTCTGTTAATGGGGATATTAATCACATGATTCCTGACGACTGAATGGACAAATAAATGTGTGAACTCTGTACCAAGAGAGAAAAATTACATTCATGCAGTAAATTTGTCAAAGCAGGTAGAAGATCATCATCATTCTGTATGACTGTGATAGAAGCTTTAAGGGCTTGATCAAAGGGAAGGGATGGAAAGGGAGGGGTTCTTTCTATAATTTAATATATTACGTTTTAGGCCTTACTAGATGAAGTGTCCTTAGATGACTTGTGTTGTGAATTGGAGCTGAAATAGAATTAAATTGAATCAAAGACTCCTCATTGCAGAGTTGCTCCCAGCAGGGAAAAGAGATTCCCTGTGTGTGTATTTAAGGCTTTTATGTCTTCAAGGCAAACAGTACAGATGTTCAGTTTAGTGTGTGACATTGTGAAAATCTTTAACTCCTGTCTTTGCTCGACATCAGGCTCCTCAGCTTGAATTTGCTGCCTCATTTGTACTAAACGCTTTGTTGACATTGTAATTTTCAGTTCTCTGTCTCGTCCTTAAAACCTGCCACGTCAGCAGTGTAGTCACTCGAACCTCTCTCGATGCCAGGGAAAGCCCTGATTGATTGCAACCTCCTGTCCGCAGGCTGTGGTCGAGGAGGAAAAAGCCAGGCCCATCCAGATCGTCCTGGCCAACGAAGATGAGCACAGCTTCGAGCTGGACGCTGCCGCGCTGGAGAAGATCCTGCTGCAGGATCACGTGAAGGACCTGAACGTGGTGGTCGTGTCTGTGGCCGGAGCTTTTCGCAAGGGCAAGTCCTTCCTGCTGGACTTCATGCTGCGCTATATGCACAATCAGGTGAGATGAACAATGCGGTGTTTCAGAAATACTGATTCTGCAAGGACACATGCTCCTGTGGGACCTAATTTAATGAGACAGCTATTCAGTGAAGTACCAAACACAAGTGCAAACAACTTGAAAAGCACTGATTTGTTTTATACACAGTTTCTGAGGCGATAAGTAAATATAGTCAGAGACATGTTTATTCTGTTTTAACTTACATTACTGGTGAGTCCTTTAAAGTGCTCTGATGGCAACAGTGTTTTTATGATACTAAAAAAGAATAATCTGATCTGTTGAGGAGTCACCAAAGTTTTTGCAAAGGCAAATATTACCTTTTATCAATTTAAGATCGGCCTCTTCATTGAGCACACCTGTACCATCTAACGTAGCTGCATACAACGGCCCAGGCATAAAATCTAGATGCCAAAGCATATATTTGAATTTAGAACTGTCATAAAAGTTGACTTCATGGCTGACCAGGAAGCATCCGCAAGTCAGATTGGTACAACACACTGGGCATACTTTTATCAGTCCACATGCTTGACAGCATTTTTTTAAACAAGTTTTTTCACTGCTGCACAGTATCAGTGCGAACAGGGAAAAAAAAAATGTTGACACTAATACTAATTCTTAAAGTCCCCTGCTGAAGGTGTGTTTACATGTGCTAAGAAAAATATACAAGAGCTCATCCTTCCTCTGGGGCTTAGTGTTGTGTAACGCTTTGAGTCAGTTGAGAGTGGGAAAACAGATGGGCTCCACGGACAAGTAGATGGTATTACAACCAGTTATTGCTTGTGTTGGTGACTCCCAAAGATAAGGTGTCATCCTGAGATACTTGCTCAGACATGAGAGTAGGATGTGGAGCAATAAGACAGGGTGGGTTTAGCCACTCTCAGTGTTCTGGGAAGTTGAATTTTACCATTAAACTATATTATATATATAAGTCTTCACAAACATCGCTAGTTTTCCTGCTCATTACTGGTGTTTGACTTTATGTCTATAAATGTGAGCTACACAAAATGGCACACCACACACGCAGAGTCCACACAAACGCACGTTATTTTTCAGCTGTGTCCGACACAAGAATCAACAACCAGTCCTTCAGTCCTTCTGACAGCAGCTGGGCTCACAGGCAGTCAGGATCACTTTACAGTACGCACACTTGCAGCTACTCCTGCTAGCACAACCACACACATGCACACAACAAGGAAAATGTAGGAATGTTGTGACGCTTTCGCTCAGCTGTCGGCCAGCGTGATGATCATGAGCGTCCACGCAAGTCTCTGCTCGTGTTCACACTTTTGCTATTGCCTCATTTATCAACAACAGTTAGTGTTGCAAGCAGTATTAATGAGCTCGTACGACTTTCACAGCTGTGTGTGTGTCACGAGGAGAATGATCAGACTGCAGGTATTTGTTATTATCAGATGGCAGCCTATCATTTTGCTCTGTCATCATGGCGGAGAGAGAGTGATGTACTGTAATGATGCAGTAACCACGAATCAGTGTTTTTGCATGCTCGGACTTGCAAATCAGCTATTTGCTTTAGAAGCTGCATTTCCTATTTGGGGTCAGCGGCTTTCCGCACCTGCCGCTGGGATAAACAGACAAGGTTTCGATTACTTGAAGCTTCACGTTCACAACAACTGTTGGAGGAGAACTGGCCTGAATGATGAAATAAATCATTTCTAGGAGTGCTAATCACATGCTGCACAATTATCTGTTTAGATAATCACCATAAAACCATAATAACACAGTAAAAACATGAGGAAACATGTACTTTTAAGACGAGTACAGTGTTGGTGTTATGACAGTACAACATAACACGTTATTCACTGCAAACCCAGAAAAAGACAGTTCCTCTGATCTGTGCTAAACGCTGGTGGACATGCGTTCATTGACCTGGACCATGTTTTTTCTCCTCCCTCTTTCACTCGTACCACCATCTGTCCACCTCCTCTCCACTATATCTCTCTTCTGCCCTTCACACTTTATTCTTTATCTGTCCTTCTCTTCTTCTGTTATCTGTCTCCTCCCTCCTTGCCTCTGCAGCAGGGTGACTCCTGGATGGGAGGCGATGACGAGCCCCTGACAGGCTTCACCTGGAGAGGAGGCTGCGAGAGGGAGACCACAGGAATCCAGGCCTGGAGTGAAGTCTTTGTGGTCGACAAGCCTGATGGCAGCAAGGTAGGCTGTCCCCAGACGGATGCTTATCTTGAAATACTTAATTTCATCTTTTGTTTATGAGTTTTCACACATCCAAACCACAAACTCAAACCGGTTGCTTTTTGCACTGCGTCTTGTCTCGACAGGTTGCTGTGCTCCTCGTCGACACTCAGGGAGCGTTTGACAGTCAGTCCACCATAAAGGACTGCGCTACCGTGTTCGCCCTCAGCACAATGACCAGCTCTGTGCAGGTGACACCTACAGCATGTCTTCTTCTTGAAAACAGTGCTGTTAACTTGTTCTGCTAACACTTAAGTCTTGTGTTTTTGTTTTCAGGTGTACAATCTCTCCCAGAACATCCAGGAAGACGACCTGCAGCATCTGCAGGTTGGTGTCATTTCATCAAAGTAGCACCAAAGTCTGCTTCACTGTCGTCTGGTGTCTGATCATCATTTGTTTTTCTCTCATATTTAGCTCTTCACAGAATACGGCCGGCTGGCAATGGAAGAGATTTACCTGAAACCTTTCCAGGTATTGGCTGCTTCTCTTTTACGCTGTATAATGTAGTGAAAACATTTTATACATTTGTCCTAAACAACAAATGCCACATACGATGTATATGCACCTTGTCCATTAAATCTCCCTGTACAGGTAAATAGTCACAGAAAGTTGTGTACCATAAATTCTGGACTATTACCTGAATATAAGCCACACCCACTAACTTTAAAAAGAATACAAATTTTTTACATATACAGGCCGCACTTGTCTATAAGCTGCAGGTGTCCACGTCGTAACATGAGATATTTACACAGAAACAGTCTACCAGGAAGTCATTGATCGCTATCGTCATCTTCCTCCTTTGCAGTAAAACCACTAAAGTCGTCTCTTTCAGTGTTGGAATCGTCACACACTTCCTCAGTCTCTCTTTCGTTGTCGCTCTCAATGTCACTGTCATGTAATTCGTCAAACTCGTAAAAATCCATAAATCAGCCGCATGATTGTTTAAGCCGCAGTGTTCAAAGCGTGTGAAAACAGTAGTTTGTATTTACGGTAAGTTGAGTGAAAAATACTGTTTATAAAATGAAGTATCTATAAAACTGGGAAATGTAGTTCCACTTAGATTTGATGCTGAAACTGAGAACAAGGAAACGTATGGTCAGTCAAAAAGTAATGTGGAATTTTTCTAAACTAAAGTAAATCATGAAAATAATCAGAAAGGGGATTGGTATCTAGACACATCACCATTTTTATTATTATCTCAGCAGTGATTTTTTTCCCACAAAATCAAATATAACAAATCTCACTGTGTTTCTGTTTTGTTGGTTTTGTGTTTCAGTCCCTGATGTTCCTGATTCGGGACTGGAGTTATCCTTATGAACACGACTATGGACTGGAAGGAGGCAACACTTTCCTGGAGAGAAGGCTGCAGGTGAGAATCACTTTTACATCAGGTTTGAAATACACATCTGTTTCTGTAGAATACACGCTGTTGGAACAAATGAAGCGTTCTCCTACTCTGACATTTCCACACATTGTTCAAGAAGTTTGTGAAGCAGGTCACACGGTCATTGTTCCCTTTTAGATACAACACCCTCATTTTCCAAAACACAAAAAGTCAACTCCAAAGATAACCACATTCATGGACTGTGTTGCTCTTTGCTGACGCAGGTTAAACAGAACCAACACGAAGAGTTGCAGAATGTGAGGAAGCACATTCACTCCTGCTTCTCCAACATCGGCTGCTTCCTGCTGCCTCATCCTGGGCTCAAGGTGGCCACCAACCCCTACTTCGACGGCAGGCTGAGAGGTGACGACAAAGCAACACACATGCACTAATAATACAGAATGATGGCTGAAGCACGCTGGGCTGAAATGTCTTGCAGCAGAAATGGAGACAGAGTGTGTTTGTGTGTTTCAGACATCGATAGTGATTTTAAAAGGGAGCTGGCCAGACTGGTTCCTCTCCTCCTGGCCCCAGAACAGCTGGTGGTGAAGGAGATCGGAGGCAACAAAGTCACCTGCAGAGATCTTCTGGAGTACTTCAAGGTGCTGCAGAGTTTTGTTTTTTTTGTTTTATAGTCTGCTGCTCTGTCTGACACCACAGGATTAGTCATGGGAAAAATAACAAACAAAACAACCAAAGAGTGTTACATTTCTTCCCTCTTCACCCAGTTTGTCACAGCACACACACACAACAAGTGAATGCAGGTGTGATAAATCAGACCTGCAGGGAATTTTGCTTCAGGGTTTGGCAGTAATAAATCCTGATTTTCAAATGACACATTGGACTCGTGTCTCAAGTACTTGCCACGTTGTTGAATCTCTTGCTTTGCCTTTTTACAGGAAATATTTGCCATATCTCACATTATTTATCATTCCTGCAGGCTTACATAAAGATCTACCAAGGTGAGGAGCTGCCTCACCCCAAGTCCATGCTGCAGGTGAGTTACTGTCTTCAAACCAGGAGAGCTTTTGAAATAAGGGATGCACTTTTTAGATTAAAAAAAAAAAAAATCTTCTGCGGCCAAGACATCTTGAATCTCATTTTCTTTCCGGTTTGTCAGGCGACAGCAGAAGCCAACAACTTGACCGCTGTGGCAGGAGCCAAAGACTTGTACGGCAAGAACATGGAGCTGGTAAGAACACGGTTTTCTTTCTCATCTCAAACTTAAAGGTTGCCAAAGTCAACAAAACCAACTTGAGGAAAAGCATGAAGTTGTCAGGGTCTAGTTTTCCTGTTGTTTTTTGGAAGCCACACACTGACAGAACTTCCTACAAAGTGGGGCCTTAATGCAAACAAACTCTGCTCTGAATCTTCCTCTTCCTGTCATCTATTTTACCAGGTCTGCGGCGGGGACAAGCCCTACATCGCCCCGGCCGACCTGGAGCGCTGCCACGAGGAGTTCCGCGGCCACTCGGTGCGTTTCTTCCGCAATGTGAAGAAGATGGGCGGCGAGGAGTTCTGCCAGCGCTACCAGAACCAGCTGGAGGCGGAGCTGGACGAAGCCTACACCAACTTCTCCAAACACAACGATGGCAAAAACATCTTCTACGCGGCACGCACGCCCGCCACGCTCTTCGCCGTCATGTTCGTCACCTACTTGGTCTCCGGGGTGACGGGCTTCATCGGCCTGAGCACCTTGGCGGCGCTGGCCAACCTGGTCATGGGCGTGGCGCTGCTGTCGCTCTGCGCCTGGGCGTACGTCAAATATTCTGGAGAGTTTCGGGAAATTGGAACGATGATAGATCTGGTGGCTGAAACGCTGTGGGAACAGGTGGGTAGTCGTGTGAGGAGTGTGTGTGTTTATTCAGGTTACAACAGTCTGCATGGTGACAACAGAGTGGGAGTAGCAGCAGTTCTTATTTTACATTTGTAAAGTTCGCTCTTGTTACTGGTGATGTTTCAGGTATTGAAACTTGTTGAATTAACAGTTGTGACTCGATAATCCCTTAGCAATCTGAAAACCTTGCTATCTGACAGATTTTTAGGAAAAACGAACAGAACCCCTAAAAAACAGCCTTAACATACCGACAGCCTTGGATTCCGACTCCGACATGACGTTTCATGTCACAAATACGGATAACGGCGTATTATCTGACTGAACAATCCGACACATTGGCTACGTTCAGACTGCAGGACTTAATACTCAATTCAGATTTTTGTGTGAAATCTGATTTTTTGTGAGTTTGTTCACATTTCCAATTAAACACGACTTGTATGTGATCTGCTGTGTGAACTTCATACGACCCAAACGTGTCCCGCATGCGCAGAAGAGGACACGACGACGTCACACACAGCGAGCGTGCTCAGTGTTTGCGGAAGTAAACATGGATGGTAACGATGGAGCATATCTGCCACTCTCCCGCCACCACCGATGGTGGAAACAGAAGTGTGACCACTATATCCTAAACTAGCGTCAGCAGCCAAATACTGCCTGTGCGTTCCGGACACTTCCACCCTTTCAGAGCCCTCCCCCGGGGTGGAACTGTCCAGAACGTGCACAATCGCACCGGTCAATTAGGCGTGACATCCAGGGATGCGTAGTGTTCTAACAATACACTAGTTATGATAGCAACTATAAACAATAAATATTAACAACAAATGAGCCTTCCAGCATCAAGCCCTCCTTGTATCTCGACCTCCGTCTTGACAATCCGACAGCCTTGCTATCCGACATAAAAGGTTTTACATTTAGTGTCGGATTATCGAGTCACGACTGTAGTTCAATATTGGTGTATACGATAAGTACGACCTTGCAGTACAGAAACACCAAAGTTTGAGGTAAAGAAGAAACTATACCTTCATTACATTAGGGAAGAATTATTATCAATATTGATTGACTATTTGATTCTGTTGAGACCTCTTAAGTTCGACAAGAACTGTCAGAAAATTCTGAGATCATGTCTTCAATTTTTTGTAAATGTTAACATCACTGTGATACAAAACTGAGAAGAGCAACAAATCTTCACATTTCAAAAGATGGACGCTGGTGTTAAAATAAGTCAGAGAGCAGTCACAGGCCGTTCTGTTGGCCTGGAATTTTTTAAAAACACTTAAATAGGAATCTTGCTCAGCTGCTCAATGTGCCTCAACTATCCAGTATGGTTTAGGTTTATAGCAAATTAAGCAGTTAGAACTGTTCTTAATGCTGCTGTGTAGTGCTGTGTGCAGTGTGTGTTTCTCCAACATGGGACTTTGTGGTGATTAACGGATGCTTGCTCCAAACATGTATGAACACAAAGTAATAGTTTGGGTTAAGTGGTGCTTCGGTTAAAGTGGAAGCTTTAAAGAAGGTATCAGATGACGTGAGCAACATTTTTAACGTTTTTTTTCCTCCAGGAACACAACAATATATAGTGTGTGTGTAAATCTCTTTTTTTTAATTTGTTTTACCTCCCATCTGTTTTTATTTCCTTCGGCAACTCTTTTTTGTGATCGCCTGTCGTCTTCACATCCCATCATCCATCTCAGCAATCTAAAGAACCGTGTTTATTTCCCCTCATCACTGAAATCAAGCCAACACATCTAAATTCTCTTTTCATTCTTCCTTCAGTTGTTGACCTGCACTCACATTACTCAAGAAAGCAAATATAAAGTCAGATTGTTGGCTTTTTTTTTTCTTTTTATCTGAGTTTCATTTGTGATTCGCCACAAACCTCACGTCTCTCGTTCCTTCTTCCTTGTTTCCTCTGTTCTTTCTGTCTTCCTGCCTCCCCTGCTTTTCAGAGGACGGTCAGAAAGGTGAGAGGCGTCGGTTCCCGTTTCTCTCATCTTCTTTCTGCCTGCCGTTCTCCACATCCTGCCTGAATTCCCTTCCTCCTCCTTTTTCCACATTTTTCATTTGTGCGGTTGTCAGTCGTACGGTGCCTTTTATTTCTGCTTAACCCTCTGAACCCCAAAACCCTTGTGTAGGTTTGAAACACGCTATCTTTAAAAAAAATCCAACAAGATTGAATTTTTCCACCTGCTGTGAATAAGCGATGTGTAGTTCAGTTGGAAAAATTAACCAAATCTCAGCTTGAATATCTTGATTATTTGATTAATGCCATTTGATTTGACATGTCTCACTTAGAAATGCGCTAAAAATTAACATTTTTCACCAGATAAAAATAATAATTCTGCTCCCCTCGGCTCAACTCAGACACCACGAGCGAATTAGCCTTGACCAATATTCATGCCACAACATGTTTCTGGACTTTTCGACTGAGCCAGACTGTTTACAGCAGGCAGATAAGAGACGAGTGTGGAAACAGATTAGAGAGATTGAGAGAGGGGAAAGGAACGGTCAATAAAATAAACGTAGCATGGCCCAAAGACACAGAGCATGTTGTTTGAAGAGATATTTTGCTCAAAGAAATATCTTTCTAGAGTTGACGTGGAGTGACGGTACATTTAGCAGTTTGTAAAGAATGTAGACATGCATGTAGTTCAATACAGCTGTGGGCTCAACATGTAGATTAAATAGATGGTCGATTAGACTAAAGATTAAAGTTTTGTTCTTTTCCTGTCATGATTTATGGTATTATTGGTAAAGACGCTTACTTTGAGCTCTCTGTTTATGTTTTTTTTTCGTGAAAACTGAGCCCACAGTCAGTTAAAATGTGACAGAAACAACAACCAGCTAACTGCTCAGGGTTCAGAGGGTTAATCTCCCCGTCAGACGTCTGCCTCCATCTCACCCTCCATCTTTCTCACCCTCTGCTCCGGTGCGTTCTGTGTTTAACTCTCCTGTTCCTGCCTGCCGTCCTCTCAGGTGCTTTCCAAACTCTCGGAGCCCGTCAGGAGCCGCCTGGCGTGGCCCGTCTCTCTCCTCACTTCCCTCCCGTCAGGAGCGACGCTGGGACTCAGCGCTCCGCTCAACAACAACTACAAGAAGACTAACTAGCTCCCGGCCCGCTGGTGGACTCACAGACTGTTACTACTCATATCAAACACTTCTGCACTTAGCTGGCTTCTTTATTATTTTATTTTTCGGTCCAACGGTGCTGGATTCTGATACTTTAACCTCTGGTGTGGACACCTGCAGAACAGGCTCGTCTCAGGATCTGGAGGACGTGGAGCCTGAACAAACGGTTTATAAGAATCTTATTCTGATGAATGTGGAAAGAGAGGTTTTGTTTTTGTTTAATGGTCTGTTCAGTTGAGGATGTTGAGCTGTGTGGTGAATTTGTGTTTCTGTGGTCGACTGCATCCGGTTTTCGTTCCCTTATTTGACCTTTTTTTTCCCCTTAACCTACTTTCTTTCAGTGTTTCAGTCTCCTTCATGGACAGTTTTTAATTATAACCTGCTCTCACACGGAACCCTCTTTTGTCTTCTCTCTCCTTCTGCAGGTTTTGAAGCCACTAAGTGAACATTATATGGAGGACAACGTCAGACAGACGGTGGTTAACTCGATCAAAGCCAGCTTGACAGAACAGGGCTCGCAGCACACCAAGTTAAAGACTCACTGACGCTCTTCCTCCTCATCTCCCTCCCCCTTCCTCCATCATCTTCATCACCCTCCTGCCCACTCACTCAGTGTGTTCAGTCCTAGAACTGTGGAACTAGTTCAACACCAAAGCTGACCCTCTTTTTATGTTATTTTCCCGCCAAACGCTCATCAACACATCGCTGCCCCGTCTTTATTCGTCTGTGGCAGACCTGTAGGCGCTGGCTGCTCTTCGTCGCCCCCCAGTGCCTCACACCAGATGCTGCACGTTCATGAGAGGACCGAGCAGAGAAGCCGGCAGCGTCGCCTCTTTGCCAAAACAAGACCCGAAGGATGTTCTCTGTTGTGCCATCATGCTGCGGTAGACGCATCCTACTGTAGGCTGACACTCTCACCGCTGCTGGAAGCGAAGCGCGCTCGCTTCAGGACTGAGCTGTAATTCAGGGAAAACCGACACCGCTGCGAGCAGCTGTTCTCAGCATCGGACACTTGAAATGTTTTGTCCGACAGGCCAGACAGTTCAGAGCTCAGTTTACTTGCTCCTCAGCTTGACGATAACGTTTCCCATAAGCACAAGTGACTAATCAAACAGAAAACTAATGAATGTTGTTTTTATCGTGTTATTTCAGTAAAGTCAGCAGGTTGTATTGATTCTACTGAAGCGACAGTCAATTAAGGAGCTAATTAAACGGTCAGATTTACTCACAACTCTGAACTGAAAAGATGAGGGCAGGAAATGAGCAAAGCTGTATTTTTTTTTCTTCTGTCTGCCTCCATTCATTCGTTTTTCTGGCTGCGTTTTGAAGTCGTGTTAACCAGGTAGCATTTGTGTAATCAAACTCTGGGCTCAGGTTGCTTCTAGATCCGATCTGTCTCTGTCTCTCTGTCTTTTTGCCCTTAATATGTGTTGATTGTCATATTAAGGAGCTGAAGGAAGCCTCGATCCTCTCAGCTGATTCTATATCTTTTTGTTGTTTTTAATTTTAGCGACTGACGTGTTTTATCTGGCCTTCGGTGTGTCGTAGCGGACCTGCCAGCGTTTGGCCCTGTGCATGGTGTTAAGAGCGACTGTGAGGAGCTTTTAGAGCCCAGGTCTAGTGAGGTAGCTCATTTTAAAAACCGTTCTCTCCTCCACTGCCTTCCATTGAAGCAGCTCCGACTGTTCATGCAGTTTTAGAACCTACAAGTGTGATTCCTGCTTTGGGAATCCGAGCTCTGACGTTTTGTAAATCATTCATGATTTAATACCTCAGCTGATCGAGACATTGATCGTTTGCTCCTTTTAAAGGATTAGTTTTGGGAAATGTATTGATTCGCTTTCTTGCTGAGCGTTACAGATGATGAGACCTAAATCTGTCAGGGTGTTAAATATAAAGCTACACCCAGCAGCTAGTTAGCTTAGCTTAGCATAAAGACTGGAATCAGAGTGATACAGCTAGCATAGATCTGCCTCCCACAACCAAATTAAACAACGGTGGTGCTAAAATCAGCTTCTTGTGCAACGTTCTTCCTCAGAAAGTGGACAAGAGGAGTGATTGTCACCATTTTTAACAGACGACAAGCGAGCTGCTGCACAAAAAACATCCACAGTAACAAAAAAAGAAGGAGCAGTGTTTTAAAAATGGTCTGAATTCATTCTGTCCTCCGTTAAATGTGCAGACATAGGACTGTCTCCCTTTGCATTTGGCTGGAATGAATTCGTGTAGGTTTCACCGAATGGAGATATTTGAAATTTGAATTTGAACTAGAATCACTTATTCAACCTTTATCTTTAGCCATGCTAGCAGTTTCCCCGTTTCCAGTCTGTATGCTAAGCTAGCAATCTGCTGGCTGTAGTTTTGTATTTCATCATCAGAGTGTATTCATCTTGTCATGTGACTCAGCAGAGGCTCCCAGAATCCCTTTACCTGACATGTAATAACTCAACCTACTGCCTTGTTGCCGCCCTCTCTCTTAAGGCTGCTGACTGTTCCTCCATCAGAGCTCGACCTCCCAGAAGCGGCTCAGCGACCGACGACGACGACGACTCCTGTCGCCACACTAACGGCTGCATCACATCTGTCTGAGCTCTTCTGCATTGATTCCATCCACTCGATTTGTCACCTCAAGCGCCAGTCTCGTACTGTACAGTCTCTCTTTATCTGTGTTCATATATTACAGATCGGGCATGTATGTTGGATTAAATATTTAAATAAACTTTGTATACATTTTATAGTGAATCAGTTGACAATGGCTGTTGTTTTCTTTTCTTTTCTTTTCTTTTCCTCCTCTTCTTCTTGATCAACTTACCAGTCTGTGGTTTGTTAAAGAATGATAAGTCGCTGCTGTAGGTTTACATTAGTTTCTTCCTCTTCTTCACGAGAGCGAACGTTTAACAGAAACACGCGGTGTGAATATCTGGATTCTGATAGGACAATGTTTGGATTGTGACGAGTGGGTCGGAGACAATGTCTGTCTGCCTTTTAAAGATATCTCTGGTAATTTATTTTTGAATAAAATGTTTACCTTAAGAATAAATCATGAAACACAACTCTCACTTGGCTCCTTTTTTTTTGTCTTATTTCTAACACATTTTTTGTTCTTATAGATAGATTTATATTTACTTGGGCAACACAAACCAGCTCGGAAGTTGAACAAAGTTATTTATGTCTGTTCACATCAAGTTTTTCCATCTTTGTCAGGTAAAAATCTAAAAACAATGCTGGTTTGAAAAGTTCTAAGCTAAATTCTGGGGTATTTGTTGTGCCACCGGTGATGTTGCTGAAAATTTCAAAACAAAAGCAGATGTGGATGTCAGATTTTCTGGAGCAGTCTCTCATGTGTGCTTTAATAGGAGACGATCCAAGTCCAGCAGCTGTATTCAAAGGCTGCAGTACATTTAAGGTGTTTTCTTTCTACCTGAGTTCAGCTGTTGACTCAATTAGTCTTTTTTTTTTCTTGATTTGACCACAAGATGGTGCTGAGAGTGAAATGCTGGGCTCTGAATAATCGCTATCATTGCCAAGTGGTGTGGTGAATGAAGCTGTGGTACACAACAATAACAAGACAGGCAATAAATATAGACATCTAGATCTAAGAAATTCTAAATAAAATATTATATGTAAAAGAAAAGTATAAAAGTACTGTGAAAAGAGACATAAACTTGTCTAAACCAAGTAATAAGTTAGAAAACAGTTTAAATAACAATATTGCACATGTATAGATATAACACAGAGGTGGTGCAACAGGAGGCTTTAGTGATTTAGTGACTGTTCATGAGGGACATGTCCTGAGGGAGGAAGCTGCTCCGGTGCTTCGAGACCTGGAGGGCAGCAGGTCAAAGAGGTGATGACCTGGGTGGAAGGGGGTCGAGAGGATTTTTCCTGCCCCTTTTCCTCACTCTGGAGGAGTACAGGTCCTGGAGGGAGGACAGGGGGGCACCGATGATCCTCTCAGCAGTCCTGAACCAGACAGTCAAAGACGAGCAGAAGAGGAAGCTGCTGCACAGACAGACGATGAGTGTGTTATAAACCCTCAGATCAGCAACATTAGTGAAAACAGAGCTTCACGTGAGCAGTGAATCAGCAGCCTTCAGTATTTTCATGCGTCCTTCTGCTCAGTTAACGTCATTATTCAGTCACATGGAGCTCAAGGCAAAGGCGAGCTGAGAAAAAACAGGCAGTTCATGTAATACAGTGAGTTCAACTGAACTAGGCAGCATATGTTTATGTTCCACTGGTTATTTTGCAAAATCTGCCTTTGCACATAGAACAGTTAAAGTTAGTTGATTATTGATTAATGTACTGACAGAAAGTTCCCCTGCAGCTACTCTTTTTTTTTTCTCCCCCTTTTCAGTATTATTTTATGGTTAGAAGACTGTGGGTTGACAAAACACACTTCAGTTGTTTGGTGATAAACTAGTATACACTGGTTTTTGTCATGGGTATGTGACACGTCAAGTGGTCTCCTGGTGGCACCAAGTCCACAACCAAACTTTATGAAGAGAACTGTTCCTTATAGAGGGGTCTCAGTTTGGAACATGCTCCCCACCAGTACTAGATTAAACATAGATATCCCTTTAAGAAGTCACTGAAACTCAAACTGGTGAATCACATGTACATTTTGTTATAGCAGTGTTATAGGAACATTTTCTTTTTGTTAATTTCAGGGGGAGAAGAATGGGGAGAGACCTGCAGCAAATGGTCGTGAGTGGGAGTCGAACCCATGGCCGCTGCGTTGGGGAGCTATAGGCCCTGAACATGGGTCACCTGCTCAACTAGATAAGCTATAGGGGCGCCAGAGTCTGTGACAACTTTTGATTCTTTTTCAAAACTTTTCTTGTCTTAATTTTGGGTTGATATTGAATTATGTTGTCTCACTGATGGGCTGCGAGGTGGCTCGGTGGTTAGCATCATTGCCTCGCAGCAAGATGGTCGCCAGTTCGCGTCCCGGTGAGGACACCCGGGGTCTTTCTGTTTGCATGTTCCCCCCATGCAATGTGGGTTCTCTCTGGGTTCTCCAGAATTGTATCTAAGTTTATAAAGACCAACATTTCTACATTTTTGTTATTGCGCTCAAAATGTTATAGAGATTATGTTGTTGCACTGGAAGATCTGTAAAGAGAAAAAACTGTAACACACATATTGTAAGTAATTCATGCATGCAGTATGACATCATGTGGCACTACAATGTATGTGTTTTAGAATTTAAGTTCTTAAAGCTGGGGCTGCAAGGTGGCTCAGTGGTTAGCATCGTTGCCTCGCAGCTAGAAGGTCGCTGGTTCATGTCCCAGTGAGGACACCCGGGATCTTTCTGCGTGGAATTTGCATGTTCTCCCCGTGCAGCGTGGGTTCTCTCCAGGTTCTCCGGCTTCTTCCTCCCACACAGTCCAAAGACATGTTGAGGTTAATTGGGGAT